CACCCCGACATAATTTACACCTCCAGCAGCGAAGGGAACTGTATTTGGTGCCACCATGCAGCCACCTAGACCCCTCTAAACGCTGCAGCAGAAACCGCTGCTGCTGCCCATGTTCAATCTACCTCTCCTGGCACTCACAACAAACATCCCATTTTTACCTCCCTATCCCTCTGTTTTCAAAGAAATGCAATAATTTGTTTCCTGATTTATTCTGTTTCCACCCCGGCACTGAGGAATGCAGATGGAGAAGCGCTGCCTCCGTGGCCACTGGAGTTAAAAGCGAGGTTCCTAATAAGCAGGAAAACACGAAGGGGTCACTAAGAGTAGCTTTTTCTTTCATCTACTATTTCTCATTTTGGGCTTTTTACAACGTAAACACAAACCAGACAGTCTGTTTTCCAGACTAAATGCTTTTGCAGTTTTGTCAGGCTGTTTCGGATGGGTAGAGGCAGGTTTCTCTGTCTCGCATCCAAATGCTTCCTCTCTTCACAGCAGTGTAAAATGCAGGGTGACATCTCGGGCTTCGGCGTGGGTGTGAAGCAGAAGAAATGTGACCCTCTTCTCCTGCCTTCCTGTCCTGCCTTCAAGCCCTAAGAAAGGATTGCATCTTCTTTTTCATTTTACAGGGAAAAAAAATTGCCTAAACACTTGCAAAAAGAGGCAACATATCCTGGAAAAGCAATTTGGCCGGGAAGTCGCTGGCTCTGCTCCGTAAGAAAAGAAGGCCGGATTGCCCTGCATGGAGACTGTTTGCTTTGCCACTGAATCTCTCCATGGATGTGTCCTACAGACATCTCTCCATGGATATGTCTCAGGCACTGCTGGGATGAGCTGCCCACTGTGGCTCCAAGGCTGGAGGGCTTCTTAAAACCAGTCTTGAGAAAGGTTACAGGATGGGGTTTGCGTGACTCCAGGAACTGGCCACGGAGATAGAAAGATGAAGTCTGCTTATAAAAGTCAGCATTTGGGCCAAGAAGGCACTTTTATGTCAAGTGCTTCCGATTATTAATGACATATTTGGTACAGTTTCCAGCACTTTGGATTGGATTAAAAAGGARGAAGCACTGTGTTAAAATGTTCTGGTTCAGCTCATACTGTTACAGGAATATCTGGCATTCCCTTCTGCCAGCAGCTGTGCTTGTCTATCCCAAATGCACGCGGAAAGAAATGATGCCTCCTCATGGGATTTCCCACTGCTCCCTTCCTTCCCGAATCTGCACAAATTCAACCCTTTCCTTCTAAAGCTGATATGATCCCATGGAGCTCATTGCTCTCCTTCACCAAACYGGAGCAGCAGCTACAGGACTGGCCTAAGTAGGGAAATCTGAGTTCTGAGAGAGGAGCACATGGGACACGGGGTTTCAAAAGAAATCTTGACCAACTTCTGAACATCACATGCACGTGATATTCAGACAACSATCGGTTTTAGGAAGGATTTGTTCCAGTAGTTTTAACTAGCTATGATTTAGGCGTCCAGTCGAGGCAGAGTGACCACCTCCCTCTGCGGGCAATGCACAGCGAGCACTTCCAGCAATCCATGCTCCTCGTTTTAAGGTGGGATGTGTCACCCTCCGGATGCTCCCACCTTCCTCCACGCCTGCCGAGGAAGCCTGGACGCCAGCTGAGGCCGGACACCTGCAGTAAGCAAAGCAGCACTCAGCCTACGCCAGGCAAGTGGCCTGAAAACCCCTCCTGCATCTCCACCGCAGGCACTTCTGCTCTGGTGGGCTGGCTTGCCTCCTCGAGGACATCTGTCTTTCTGCTGATCGCAGCAGGAGTCTAGATGGCTAGTTTGGGCTCAACTTGCCTTAGATGCCAAGCTTGAGGCTGTATGTTAGCTGACTTGAGGAACAGATCTCCTTCTGGAAGCTTTCAGTGTGGTCTTTTATCATTGCTGGCAGCAGAAGCTAGGCCCTTGCTTTAGGAAGGCTCCTCTAATATGTTTGAGAGCTTGAGACTGGGCTCAGGATGGGGCTAGGCTGACCTCAGCAGGGCTGTGCCCTTGAACTTGAGGATAAAGCACACGGAACAAGAGCTTTTCTGGATCTGGACCAGCACGCTGCAGGATTAACCTCTTTCTGAGACACCAAGGGGTCTCAGAGTGTTCTCTCCTTGCCTTTCCTAAACAATAAGTAATTTTGAAATTGTTTTGGTCAGTCAAACCCAATTATGCTTTTAATACAGTGCAAGAGGAACAACTTTTTTTCCCCCCTGCTAATGCACAGAGTAATTGTCTTCAAATAGCCTCGCTCTCGATGGGTAATAACTCTATTTCTCTTACGCTCTTTGTCTATATCTTGTTCTTTGCGGAGGGGATAAGTGATCTCACTTGTTTTTCAGCATTTAATTTTTGTCCTTTTGAGACACCACTYGCTATTCTACATCCAGTACCAAATGCCACATGCAGAGGAATCAATGGCAGGACATGAGCTAAGGGTAATTAGCCTATGGCAAAGAACAGATGAGGCAAACACACTGAAAATATACACTTCTGCATGTTACATGGATGCATATAGCATCCTTATGACCAGGCAGTCTTCCCATTGATGGGCAAACGATTTCTGCCTTCAATTGTAACGACATCAGAGTTTAACCCTAGAATATACTGGTTAAAATGTCATTTATACTGCATTTAACACAGAGATGTCACTTTTACTGTTCAGCTAAAAAAATGCCGTTTCTTGTTTTGATTTCTATGCTAATGCAGAGTGCAATGTAAATCACATTTAACTTAAGCGCTGCCTCAAAGGAGCTATTAACAAATACCCAAGGAGGATTCTAGAGATGTTATATTTATAATGTGAACCGCACGTGAACTATAATGAGTTTGCCTTATTAAGGGCATGATCCGACCAAACTGAGTGCCCATTGCAAGTTAAGCACCTTGACCGTCATTGACTTGATGGGGTTTCTAAAAGGACCAGTATCCTCTAAAAATCAAGACTTTAGAAATTCCACCCCATAGCCCCACGTTTATCATCTTGCAATGACACTAGAATACATTTGCTTAGTTTACAGATGAATACTTGTTTTTCCCACCTGACAGCTTTGCAAACTCAACTAGACATCACGCTGGATTTTTCCCTATTYGAGCATCATCAGCAGCAATAAAGGTATTTTTGCCTCGAATACACCTGTGCAACTCCATTAGCCTTCATCAAGGTTACATGTGCGCTGTTGAGGAGGACAACAGGGATGACAAGATCTTGCTGCAGACACAAATTGACCTCTAGAATATTTATTGCTGATGATGATGTGAGAAAAGGCAAAAAAGTGGTGGAGTCGACAAATGAGAAAACCCTCCCTCTACTTCTTTCTTGCACCGCGCGTGCATCTCATGTGAGCTACTGAAATGCAATAAATGCTGAAATAAAGGGATTTGATTTCCTAGAGCCCCTTTTCAGCACATTTTAAAAATTTTCTTGGGGTTCTCACTCTAAAGTGCTCAATCTAAAGCATATCTCCGTTCAATAATTAAATAATCAAGCAGCAATAATGCTCTCAGCGTGCCTCTCGAAATAGATGCTGCCTGGTGGCTTCTGCACACACACAGATGTCTTCGTAGCCAAATGACACTCTTGGCCAATCAGATATTGGATTTCTATAAATCGACTCTAAGAGCTCCTCTCCCTACAGACCCTTTTCCTTATCGCTCTAAAAGGCCTATACTGTAGCCTTAACTATTAAATAATAATGAGCAGACAGAAGAGAAGGGACAGGAGAGATCTGGCATAGCTASAGCTAGCAATCATTAGATTTACAGAGGGGAAAAGACATGCTTCCTAAGCCAACATATTTTTTATGAATAATTGATAAGGCAGTCAGCACAGTTATATCATAGAAATGTAATATATATCCATAATTATAAAAACAGCTTTGTGCAAAAGGACATAATACACTGAAAGGAGATACCAGCCAATATGCCATCCTGAAATAAAATACAGTCACTATTGTGTTAGTTGGCAAAATTTAAATACAGGATTTGAAGCAAGCAAAATGTTCTTTAATCCCATTTTTTAGCACAGTCCAGGCTCAGTCTGCTCAGGAAAATACTGCAAGGCAAAATCAGCAGCTSCATTAATTTGCTGATGATTGAGAGAAAAATGAAAGTTATCCTCACGTTTTCTTTTTTTTCTCCCTACTCGCTACTCTAACTTACTAATAATACGAGAGTACCAATTTATTCCTATGCGAGTATATGAAGCATACAAATTGAAAAATCAATGTAATGGAAAGAAAAGATTATCATGCACTGTTTAGAATCAATCGGCTAGAAATAGAGGGGGCAAAACGCGAAGGCAGAGACATGACGTTCAGAAACGTACATATTACACCTACCCTCAGCTAAAGCAAAGTGTTTGTAGGAGATAGCTGCTATTCCTCTAACGTGCAGACTGAGCTACATATTTCTCCCAAATTGTCTTATTTCCACTTTTCCCTAGACAAATTCACCCGTGGCCTTTTCGTCCTTTGAAAGTCCCCAAATAATAAAAATATCAATCCCTTCGCCCATCAAAGCCACACAGAGCATGTAACACAGAGTTCAGGCTGAAGGGATTAACATACTCGGAATATTTCCTCAGCGTGAGGCCCCAGCCTCGTTCACCATCACGACGATGGCTTCTTGTGGCCCAAAGGACACACTTTTGGGCTACGTGACAAGGCCCTTGGGAACACGGGCAGCCGTAATTCTCAGCTGCGGCCTGCATCACTTTTCACAGATTTGTTTTAATCTCAAATCTCTCAGTGGTGGAACAGTTTCTTCGGCCAAAACAGGCCGCTACCGGTCAGAAATAATTACGTTGCACRAGTCAGATGTGTAACGAATGGATCTGAGGCTCGGTTTGGAAATACATTCAGAGGAGGTGGAAAGAATGGCTACTGGCTCTGTGACAGGAGATTCAATCTTCATAAACCTGCAAGAGAGGGGAGGAAAAAAAAGCGACACAAATGCGCCCTACAAAAGAACAGAGCAGATCACAGCTGGAAGGAAGGCAAACCTTTTAATCAGGTCCTTGAAATACAAGCTGCAGGAAGCTAGAACATTTTGGTGGACTTCAAACTCTTTGCCTTCAACAATAATTTTCAGGTCTGTAAACTCTTTCGCTCTGCGTTGCTGGTTCAACTCCTTCAACATTTCTGCAGAACAGAGAAGACAGACAGTGCCAGGGTTCCCATTAAGAGTTTTTTACTTTTTACTTTTTTTTTTTTTTTGTAAAGAAGTAGAGAAACAGGAAACAACTGATATTTTTGTTGGTAAGATTGGCTCAACACAGACAGTCAGAAGTTACAAACATAACACAGTAAAAGGGAAAGAAAAGAAAATAAAAACAACAAAAAAGCGGGAACCAGTAGATCTAAACAACAGAAATATATATACAGAAAAAAAGCAAAAAAAAAAAAATCCTAAATTTGGAAAGGTTAAAAACAAACTAAAAAAAATCAGCATCACCAAATCAGAACCACAGAGTATGCATTATCACAGAAAAATTGAAAATAATTTGTTATAAGAAAAAGCAAGAGCTAATGGACTTCTATCCAAATGCAAATAAGTTTTGAACATACTGGAATAATATTAGTGAAAATATGGTACTATGATGCAATATGAACTGGATATGGGTCAAAATAATAAAACCACAAGGCCTGCAAAAATAACATATCCTAGCTTACTGAAGAAATGTTGATAGTTAAAAGCATTAAAGCACCCTCAGTTAAAAGAATGCAAAAGCACTCCATACATAACATATTGTAGTGAATAAAAAATTAACCCAATTATCAATGYACCTTGCAATATACTTTAGCTGTATAGTCTACGACTGTATATTTCCCAGAATTAACTTAAAAGCATCGTCATGATACAAAATAATCTCATACCGAGAATAAATTTCTGCCTTTGCAGCAGCTCCCATTTTTTGCACTCGGAGGATTTTTACTATCACAGCATTCTTATTTTTTCAGCCTTCAATGGCTTCATTTACAGCGACAATCAACTTTCACACACCATGAAAGAATCGTAATGATTAAAATAACCTATGAAAGTGTTTCCATCCTGCAATAAAGCACCTACCTTGCGCGATGCCTCCTGTTGCACAGCCTATAGGCACTAACTGAGTAAAATAAGAGCGTGCCACGTCATCATGTCTGGATGTGCACTACTAAGCAACCTATATGTTTTATACACTGGCTGGACTTTTAAGGGTAAGCCTTCTCTCCAGGTTTGCAGACCAAAGTGGCTATCAAGATGAATAATATACTTTTCACCTGGGCAATAGTCTGGTGGCTCAGAGGTCAGGAATCAAGATGATGAAAGAGCTGATTTTAAATACTAAAGGATTTTGGGTTTATTTTATGCTTGCAATAGGTCAAGGTTCTCATTTTCTCCGTGAAACACCCCGAACACATTCCTCTTCAGACAGATCTGTAAATCAACAGCATTTTCTTTTGGTGGAGGCCCTTTTTATACCAAGTAAAAGGAGCTGAGGAGTGTGCACCTATAACTGCATTTAAAGGCACTGCTGGGCTTGGGCACTGCATTGCCACAGCAGGGCCAAGGGCCTGCTGGTAAAATTGAGTTACACCCAAATAATCCCTTTTTCCTCCCCCTGCTCCTCCAGTGAAGCTTGGCAAGTTCAGTGAAGAGCTAGCGGTTAAACAGCAAGAAAGCTGCAAAAACACCACGYTGCACCAAAAGACATGGAAGTTCACCCAAACGCTGATACCTCCAGAGCACTTTTTGTAGGCCTGAGTAAATAAATGTCACTGTGCACATTTATGTCTGTTGAATGGAAACRGAGTGGTGTTGGAAAGGCTAATTATTCTGTGCTGAAATGGGTCAGTGCTCTCCAGAGGGCACGGGGATCATTAGAGAGGGCAGGGAAATAACAGTGGGCTCGTGTCAGGTCTAGAGGAAAATGAGCTACGCTGTCCTGCGGGTGCTGCCGCATGGGCTACCTTCCAAGCACCTGTTTGAGGTGAGGTACTTGGATAGACCTCATGAAGTACAAGGACAGACCTCAAACAAATGTGGACCTTAAAATGGGATCCAAATGTTCCCTCCTCCAGAGGAGAGCATCAAGTCTGCGTGGCTGTCTGGCCCGACCAGCAACGTTTCAGGCCTCAGCTAAGTCTCCTTTGTGTCTCCTCTGGAGATCTTCCAAATCCACCTGGATGCCTTGTGCTCCAGGTGTCCCTCCTGCATGATGATCTCTAGGGGTTCCTTCCAACCTCAACCTTTCTGTGATTCTGTAAGGTCAAGGGAAATTAGGAGGCCATGAGCGTTTTGCCTGCTTTAGGGTGAGCTGCCCAACACCTTAGGCTTCACAGGCACAGCACTGGATCTACCTTAGATGCATCTTCTGGTAGAGACTGAGGAGGAAATATTTGTCTTTCCCTTTCCACATAGGCGCTGTTTACTTTTTTCCTGTCTTGGCCCACTTTTCCACCTTCACTTGTAGTAACTACATTTTCCTCCAGACCAGTTTTCTATCATTTCGTGCCTTAAAGACAGCTACTTTTTCCTCTAAACTTTAGGATACTCTCTGTTATCCCCTATTTAATTTCACTTTTTAACATTTTTTRCCCTCTTCACTGTTTTCTATCATTCCTGTGGTCAGATTTGCCCATTTGCTTTCCTCCATTATTTGGACATTACGGACCAACCTTTAATTACACCCAATCCTGCAGCTCCCGGGGCCAGTTTCTACTTCTGGTCTTTACAAAAGTCTCTGTACAAAAGTCATTTACATCATTTACATTTACAATGTACTCTATACTACACACATTCATTAAGGGATGTGCAGCACCAAGTGCAGCTCTGCAGAAACCAGAGCAAGTCCTACTCTTCTGAAATGATGCTTCTTCTCCCACTGCCATCTGGAGGAGGTAATTCCCTCCATATCCTCCACCTTGTATCCTGCCCTCCACAGAAACATGACCATGACCTGCCCTCTATATATATGTATATAAATATATATGTGTAAATTTAGCTCAGTTTCTGAATCGTGAAGTGAAGAGGCCAGTGGAGAAGAGGAGGAAGTCAGGAAGCTGCCTTGATGCATCCATCTCCGTAGCCGAGCCCCTTTGTATTCCCCGATAACYGGCAGGCATCAGCATGGGACGCGAGGCTGCACGGGCGCAGGGTCTGCGGGGCTCACGCTAGGCTTAGCCAGCCAGTAGTGATTTACGAGGCCTCTGGATCAGCTGCAAAACAGATTTTTTCACCAGCTAATCATGCCTGCCGATGGGCTGGAAAAGGAGCGGCAGCACCATGCAGTCCTGGCAGTGAGAAATGATCTCGACCATCTCCCACCACTCCCCTTTTTAGGGATTTTTTTTTTTTTTTTTGCAGCTTTTCCACCAACAGCTGGAGTTCCCTGAAAGACTCCGACAGGGATGAGCTGAATATTCCCTATTGCTTATTTATTCCCCTGCTTCCTTTGCTCTTACACAGGGTTTTTGCTTTGCTTGTCTGAGTTCTTTCTTTTTGTAAAGAAATCCTGTTAAAATGAAGTTGGCTGCAGGTTTCAGGCACTGTACTCACTTCCACAGTGCGAAGCGTTTTCCTTCTCCCTCTTACAGACCCCCTGCTTTGGGATCCCAGAAATCAAGCCATTCTTTTTCATCTTCTCCATCATTACTGATGCCAAATCATTCCCAGTCAAAGACTGATGGAACACTTCCTTCAAAAGGATGTAAATAACAGACACCATCATCATCATCTTCCATAATTACACGAGCTGCACAGCAGCGGAAGCTAAAAGGACTTGACCTGAAACCCACAACCAAACATCTCTACGGAGCTTTAGGGAGTTTGCACTTCCTTTTTCAGCGTTATCGGCCTTTCCAGTATTGCTTGGGGGCATTTCAGCATAATTATATTGAGAGTCCCAGGGACAACATGGGACAGAAGATATAAATGACTTTCCTCAGTCAGTAATGGAGCCCAGAAGAACTCAGCAGCTTTGATGCCTGGTTCCCAGCTCTACCCCTTATGCTACATTTTCTTAATTAATGGACAAATTTCAAATTAAGCCAAAGAGCCCATACGCCTTGGTTCAAATAATGGACAAGAGCGAGTGTACAATACTGTAGATCAAGTAAAGGGAAGTTACAGAGTAAATCGATTTCTTTTTAATTACTCATGATCTGACTATGAAACGAACAAGTAACTTATTCCCTGACATCATTTATTTTGTATTTCAAGTATGGTGACTGGTATGGACCAAGTCAAATGCAATTACCAGTGGCACAACAGAAATTCTCAAGTTTCTTTCCATTTTTAAAAACAAACTCATTACTTCAGCTTAAATTYTGATGGATATGACTTTGAAAGGTGGCAGTAACAACAAAAATATGAACAGCCTTGAAACAGGGAAGAATGGCTTCACAAAAAGTGTTTTTTTTTTTTTTAATGTTTGGAATAACTAACCTGTTATAAAACTGCAAAGGGTAATTGGTGAAACTTCACTAATTACAACTGTGAAGAACATGCAAGAGACCAATGCTAGCCCAGATAGCTTAATTCTTTCATGATTAGGTAAAAGAATGTGGGAAAGCCAAGAAATGTTATAAGAAGGAAAATCCAATTATGTTTTTTTTTCCCCCTTAATAAGAAGATTAATTCCCAAGGTAATGTTGCAGTTATACACAACAAGCTTTTTAACCATTAGGTGCCAGCAGACATGATGGCATTTTTTGATAGAGAATAGTAGCTTTTATGTGGTCATAAGAAGTTAGGTTATGAAGCACAAGACCTAACGGTCCACTAGGAAGTTAAAGATGTCAGGGAAGTCTGTGCAGGTGAAATGACCTGTATGTCATTTATGTGGTTCCAAAGAGAAGAACAACAAGAAGAAGAAGAGTATTTTCCTCTTACATCTAGAGAAGACCATTATAAGTTGTCTTATCTACCCTCATGCTGATGATCCATAGTTCAGTGTAGTTGCCTGGGGAGTTAGCAACTAAATGCCTAGTCACATTATTTGGCCCATCTATCTAGACTTGGCCAGGCAGCTGCTGAGGTTGCTCTTGTTCCACAGGGACCTTCTCACACTGCAGACCCAGTCCTCACTGATATTGCTCACTGAGCAATATCCCTCAGGGAATCCCATGATCACGGGGCAGCAGGTTGGTTATTTCCC